GATTGGGCTAGTTTTGAGTAGCAATTGGGCGGGTTTTGTTGTGACAACCTGGCAACCCTAGCATGCACCTTTACATAAAACAATAATATAGTGCTCCAATCAGTTCTTAAAATAATGACATAAAAACATTTTGTTTAACACTTATGCAAGCGAATCGTGCCCACAGCTAAAGTTTAGCTGCTAAACTGTAAACACTTAACAAAACAATAATGGTGGATATGTTAGCCAAGTGCTAACGTGACTAACTGATGAAACAATAGTTTGAAAACCAAAATATGTCTACTGTAATGTCTGACACTTATGCAAGCGAATCGTGCCCACAGCTAAAGTTTAGCTGCTAAACTGTAAACACTTAACAAAACAATAATGGTGGATACGTTAGCAGAGTGCCAGCCTAACTAACTCGTCTCTCTCTACTGGGTCTTTTACTCCCTGCATTAACCCTATAACTACATAAACAGCACTTTCACAATGATTATGAAGTCTGTGCGCTACACTACATACTTTATTATGAAACGAAGTAATTAGAACAACCACAGTCTACATTATTCGACACATTCTTAGGAAATAGTGGGTTCACAGCGAATTATCAGAACTATTTCAGTAAAACAGTAATATTGTGCTTTACCTGGAAACCTAAAGCTGCACTAGGTATACATCACATTAGCACAAAAAAAAAGACATATTTTGAGCACCCAATTGAAAATTTACACACAACGTATCAATCGTACTTACAGGTTGTGGTTTGAAGACGCTTGTTGGTCCAAATAAAGAAGATTAGAAGCCAACGAAGATAAAAGGCAAGATTAGAGAAGCAGTCCTCGGTAAAATGATGAGCACAACAAAAGGTTTGAATTGTATTGCTGTGGTATCGTGGAACACAGCATCTTCTCGACACAATGAGTGTCCGTATTTCATGGGCAGGCGGGGATTATGCTAATGTGTTACCCAGTGACGTAGATCAGTAACAGGCAGAAGATTTGAAAATATAGCGACTCGTTAAGGCGATTCTGAGTCGACTCTTTCTTTTGAGAGACAATGTCTTTATCATGCACTCTTTTGATTAACAACTTGCAGACTGTTTACATTGAAGGATAGCTATCTTACAAACTGCAAAAGCTCGAAAACCCATATGACCTGCTCTTTAACTTTTATAAAGAACATCTCTTTGGGTTTGAGACTTTAGTCTTTGCAACTTTAGGGATCTTATCTATTCACGAACAGCTTGTAACACTCCAAAGAGAAAGGAAAACTTGAAATCGCATCATATGACCCCTTTAAGTAATTCCAGGGTGACCACATTTTATTTAGATATCATATTGCCATGTCTGCCCAATTTGTTAAAGTTTCACATAAACAGATCTTCAAAGAGCCATACAGCCTACTACAAATGAACTCAACAGGCCAGTATCTGATTTCACAGAAGGATAATCAATTTTTTATTTTTATACCAGTATATTTTTATATTTTCTAGAGATATTTTTCATAGAACATTACTAATTTGTTTGTAGCTGATGCTTCAATTTATATTTTTGCACTCTGCTGACCAGCTAGATTACACTATTTGTGTGTCAAATAAGCAACATTTGCAACAGCAATTTAAAATCCAACGCAGAAAACCAAATGTTTAAGTTTACAAGGCATACAAATGGATGTAGTGAACCTGGTTAGTGAAATTGGTATATTAGAATGATTTCTGAATGGTCATGTTTTTTTCTAAAACATTAAAAAATTCTTATGACCCCCAAACTTTTGCACAGTAGTCTATATATATGATTTCATTGGAAACTCAGAAATGTGGTGACTGTCCATGAGAAAATACCATAGAAATGTATAATAATGTGACAAATCATGTATTTGGTTGAGAGGCAAAGCAGACACAGTTTTACTCACTCAGAATGCTTAATCAGTATTGTAAGAAAGTAGTTCTACATGCAAATGTTTTAGGGACTAAAACCTAAAAAATTATTGTAGATAAGCAAGTGTACATGTGATAACCATGGAATAAGTAAAATAATTTACTCCAGAGTGTTGAATTATTGTCCATGTGTTAATTTGGGATTACGGAGTTAATTTTGGATCCATGTTGTGCTTGCTTCAGCTGTTGAGAGCAGACAAGAACAAACTGGAGAGTCAAATGCAGATGATGCAGCCTGATATGACAATGTAAGAGCTCTGTAATGCACTTAACACATAGCAATGAAAATATTAGCTGATTAATTGATCTTATTAATGGCAAGCATAATACTTGCACAAACATCAGAAATTGCTTCACATGTTCTTCTAACTGTGTATGTATGTGTTTGCAGCCCAGGTCTCTCTCTTTCTGTGGCCTACAGACTAAATCAGATGAGTTCAGGCTCTCTTCAGACAGAGTTGGCACTGGCACAGAATCCCCTGGAGGTTTGCAGTGTGTTTTGTGTTTGCAATTCCCGTGTATGTCTTTGTCCCGTCCATGATTTGGAGTGTCTCTTTCTCTCCACACCCACCAGCACTTATGTGCTGTTTTCTGTCCACCCACTCTCTCCCACTTTACTGCCATAGAGTGCACTCAGTAATCCACACCCTCTCTGTGCTTTATACCAAACTTTAGGCATTACAATGAGTCTGACTACATGTGCTTTATTTCACAATTATTATTTTTTTTTGCTGTGGGTGCTTCCATTATTGTAGCTGGTGATAACTACATACTAAAAAACAATATTGTTTATATATACTCACTGGCCACTTTATTAGGTATACCTTGCCAGTACTGGGTTAGACCATCTTTTGCCTTCTAAACTGCCTTAATTCTTCATGGCATAGATTCAACAAGGTGCTAGAAACATTCCTCAGAGATTTTGGTCCATATAGTCATCACAAGATAGGTACACTGTGGTCATAAAGCGATGGATAATACTACAACAATAATACAGCAACAATACCCAGGCAGGCTGTGGCGTTTAAACAATGCTCAATTGGTACTGAAGGGCACAAATTGTGCCAAGAATATATCCTCCACACCATTACACCACCAGCAACCTGAACTGTTGATACATAGCAGGATGGATCCATGCTTTCATATTGTTTATGCCAAATTCTGACCTTACCATCTGAATGTCAGAATTCGAGACTCATCCAATCTATTGTGTCTTAATTTTGGTGAGCTTGTGCAAATTGTAGCCTCAGTTTTCAGATCTTTGCTGACTGGAGTGGCACCCAGTGCAGTCTTCCGCCGCTACAGCCCATCTGCTTCAAGGTTCGATGTGTTGTGCTTTCAGAGATGATCTTCTGCATACCTCGGTTGTAACAAGTGGTTGTTTGAGTTACTGTTGCATATCTACCAGCTCTAACCAGTCTTTCCATTTTCCTCTAACCTCTGGCATCAAAAAGACATTTTCGCCCACAGAACTGCCGCTCACTGGATATTTTCTCTTTTTCTGACCATTCTCTGTAAACCCTAGAGATGATAGATATTTATTTATTTATTCAATAAATAAGTATAAATAAATACAAAATATAAAAATGTATATATTTATAAAATATATTTATATTTAAAATATTTTAAATGTTATATTATGTTGTAATATTATAAAATATTGATAGAAATTAATTTTATATTGCTTATACATTATTATACATTATGCATGTCTGTGTATTTTTAGGGTTTGGAGCATCTGTCGTCCTCTGTTTGTTTTGCATCTTCTCTGGATGTGACTCTAGATCGTGAGGTTCTTCTGCTCCTCCAAGGCCCGACTCCAGAGCAGCTCTCTCTAGAGTATAAATCTCTGATCAGCAGACTGGTAACCAACTAACCAGCCATCACACTCACAATTTTTAAGCAAACTTCAGTTAGTCTGATATTAATTTTGCCAGCTTTCCGTCCTTAGACACCTGAATGCTGGTTTAGTATGATGCTGGTGTTTTGGAGTGTTCACAGTGTCAATCATGAATTGTTCCAGAAAAGGGAGTTTAAGGAAGACTGCATGACCTGTCTCACAGCATTCAGAGGTCTTACAGAGCACATTGAAACGAAGGAGGTCAACACTGACCTCAAGATACAGGTAACGGGATTTCTTCAACTAAGTCAGATTGGAAAGTATCCATCAAAACGGTTATGCAAATTTTGGCACATATGTAATTAACTAATCCTGATAACATTATATGAGATACACATGGGCAGTTAAAATTATACAAGAACTCCTCTCCCCTTGTCTGAACTTTTATCTACCACATTGCATAACTGCCTGGCTGGACATGTTGACTCTTATTGTGTGTATTCAGTGGACCGCATCAGTATGTGTGGTCTTCCCTGATGGTCGACTATACAGGCCAATATTTAGGCTAATTCCTACGATGCACAGGGGCAGTGTGTCAGATCAGAGGAACTCTGACTCTCCTTAAGATGATCTTTGATTAAACTTTTTTATCTTATTACCGCATTCAGTAAGATTTAGCTGGTATTAATGACTGACTGGTGCACTGTGTGATGTATTTAGTCATTAAACCTCATTGTTGATTTTGTGAACTCCTGCAGGGCCTGGAGGTGCAGCTCGAGCAGAGGAGGAGTGACTGGACCCACAGTCTGGAGCAGTTGGACCAGTACACAGACTCTCTGGAGAGGGAGCTTCTAAAGATGGCTAGCAACATGCGACGTTCTCGTACTGAGATTTTGCAGCTGTCTGTCAAGTGAGTGGACTGAGTTGGTAGCAGAGATGTTTTTATTAGCTATCTTTTTATGGGGAGTTTTTTGGAATTAATTTTTTCTCCATTTTCCAGTCATATTTACCATTGTGTTATGAATTTTCACGAGTGAAATCCACTTCAACAGGAATATACGTATTCAGGAATTTCACGTGAGATTTCGAAAATGGTTCTGTTTGGTCTCGAAAATTCGCGGCAGTGACTAACAGAAAGGTGCTTCATACATCGCTACACTACTTGACAGTAGCATATGGCCCTTTCACCAACACAATTTCACCAAAACTTTGCTAATGTGACCATAAAACGTAAGACTTTTATCACCTTATCTGTAGTAAATGCCATGAGACTAATTCTGTGATGTGAATGGCAGCAGACACTTTCTCATGCCTCCAAAAACAGTCACTGGCAAAACAGCTACTTTATTATAATGAAATATTTCCAATTTTGTGTGTTGCTAGCAAAAAAAATGTATTTCATCAGATTTTTGTATGCCTCTCAATGGAGATAGATTCTTCTGGTATCTGCCAGTAGGGTCTTGTGCCGCTGGGATGAAACCTTGTGTTTTCATGATTATTTCTGTCATATTAGTTTTTTCAGATACTTGTGGTATTCCATAAGTTACATTTAGACATAGTAACTTAATTTAGAGTTTGATCTTAGTAGCAGATATCGGTGGTACACCAACATGGCCATGCAGTTAACAGAGACTATGGAAGCCTTGAGATTGTAAACTGTAATCATTTTAATGAAGAGATAAGTGGACATAGGTTTTTTTTTAATTTTTTAACCAGAGTATATTCATTTTGAAACCTCACCCTTTTCAAAGCAGTGGAAGGATTATGGGGCAAGGCCTTACCAATTTAGTCCATGTCTGTGTGAATGTCTCTAGAAGCTTTTGTCAGGGGGCTGTTCCGTTTGACCCCCCTCAAGCTGTTTTTGGTTCACTGAAGAGGTGTCGCTAATCTGACATTACACGGTTTTCAAGGCTACGTTAGTCAGTGTACTTTGAATAAAAGGCAAAGGCTGTTGAGAGAAGCCAGGGAAGTTAAGGAGTTGCACTGTCCAGTAGTGCTCTAAGATTGGGGTGAAGGAGCAATGGGACATTGCTTGGGCCTGCAGATTGGGTATAGTATGTCCTTCTTTTGCTTTTGTAGCATTTGTGAACAGTTCAGACATCTGCTGAGGATGTATGGGGATTATGTTTGTTAGAATGTGTTTTCTGTGTAACAAGAGAATCTTTAGGTACCTCACTGATAGGTTTTGATTGAAGAAGTCATGATCCGATTCTTGATGTATTTCAAATTTTGATCAACATTGCAGGGGCGTGGTCTCATGTGTAATGCTTTTCAATAACCAGAATAATTGTATTTTTGTAGACTGAGCTATTCAGAGTCATTTGGGGGAATCAGGATTAATCAGTGAATTGATTTTCATTCACTTTTTGCAGAAGTTGCAATATAGTGAGTTTGCACAAAAGGTTTAGTCAAAGAGATATTGTCTTTTTGGAGTGTTGTGAATTCAGTGGGTTTTGTGTGAATTTTTAGGGTACAAGAGCAGGAGAATCAGAAGGAGCAGTTGCAAGAGGAACTTGACCGACTAAAGGCTCCGCTGGACAACAGAGAGGCCAGCAGCCAAACACCGGATCACCTACAGCAGGTATTGAACCTCACTGAATACTTGCTTTCACTGCCTGCACATGCTTCAGCATATGTGGGCTTTAAAACTCATGACCGATTTAGATTCAGCCCTGGGCAAAACAGAAATAAAGATTTTTGCGAGCTTCTGCAGATCACAGATGGATACTTTTACAGTCTCATTACAAGATGCTGAGCGCTGTGTGTGTAGGAGGCAAGTGTGGTTTGTAAGCCAGTATGAAACTTGACTTCATCTCAAGAGATTAGACGCCATTGACCTATTACCCCACAATGTTCTTATGTTCAGAACTTGGTTCATGTCTTAGTTTGATTCACTTTTATTATTTTCCAGTTCAGTTTATTTGTATATATTGCTATGCATAGTGTTCCAGAATCTCCAAAAGCTTGCCAAAATGTTCAAGTTAATGAAGAAGAAACATTTTGAAGAACTAGGAGTAAGCTGGGGAGGCCCATATACTTTTAATATAGTGTTTGTTGACCTGTGTGGTTGACATGTGACTGGTGTGATTGTGTACCTTCAGGTTGTGGAAGAGCTGGATGGCCCCTCTCTTGAATGGGATGAGGAATATGTGTTGTCTGAGTCTCCACCTTTACAAGAGCTCGGGCCTGACCAGGAGATGCTTCAGGAGCTCTGTTGTGATGAAGAAGAACTACAGGCCCTGAAACAGGAGGAAGAGGAGGAGGTGGAACACACAGAGACTGTGGAGGACAAGGAGAAGATAACGGAAAGGGCTGAGGGAGAAGGTTAAGTTTAGATTGCAAACAAGATTCTGAAGAGGTTTCAAAGTTAGTGTCTGAAATTGCAAGATGGAGAAGGTTTTATACTCAAATGGTGTGTTTTTCCTCTCTAAAGAAGAACCTTTTTGGATGTGAATAAATCTTGATTCAGGTCTAATGGGGGTGTGTGATTGGAGATGAAGTTGTCTGGTGTACATGGTCACACCTAGTGGACAACCGGTCTGTGTCAGATTCCTCGGGCCATATAATCCTTCCTTACCCTTTAGTGGCACAGGGCAGGAAGCCATCCCTGAAGCTTAAACACAAGCTGGAAAAGCAGGGTCACTCTAGCTCCAGACCTTTTTTGGCTTTCCTTCTACCATTGTTCTGCCATCTTTGGTCAGTATGTAAAGTAAACCTTTATCCTCTGTCCCCCATCCTTGACCACATGACTGCTGAATAACAACAGAGGCTTGTCACTTTATAAGCCCCATTATGTGACCATAACAACTGGACATGACATTAAAGCATTAAAAAATGTAAAATGTGAAGTTTAAATAGGCTGATTTTTATATCTCTAAAACTTTTTTAATAGCACCGTTTTGTATTATAAATATTTCTAATCCAGTTGCTATTGTGTTGAAAAATGTTTATGTACTTTGTAATCTTTCCTGAAAATGTAACAATTATTTCTGCTTCTGAAATGTTTGGTTAACAACCCCTAGGCTAAGATATTTAGGCTTTTGTTTTAGATTTACAGTTAACACATGTTTATGGGATGCACAGTGTATTGGTACCATATTGGTTATTGGCTGATTTTTTTATTTAAAATCTCTAAATCAATAGCAGTTGTTTGTACTGTACATTTTAACATTGTGATGCCTACATTTCACATTGAAAACAATTGATTTTTAATTTTTAATTTATTTTCACAAAATAGTATAGAATTTTAATATTAGTTAATCCTTATAGGTGAATCCCTTTCTTGTGCTCATTAAATATGCTGCTCTGCTAGGAAATATGTTATGTAAATAAAATGGGTTATGAATGCCATTTCATGACCTTTTTTTCTCTCTTTTTCAGAAACTCTGTTTGTGGGTGAGAGAGGAACGCAGAGGCCTTTTACATCTCTGAAGGTATATTTCGGTTTCTCTCATCTTCATTTCCCATAAAACCTCTCTACAAACTATCATCAAACAAATCAATTAATAGTTGTGTAAATGTTATCATTCTTGTGGTCTGTCTTATGATGCATAGGGTGGCCCTTATTTTTGTACTTTTGAAATCTTCTGCTCTCACCCGCCCAGTCAACTCCCCTTCATGGGAAATGGAAACAAACCAAATTTTGCTGAGATTGGAGGTTTGGGGTGTGAGCAACAAAATTGAAATTCTGTCTTAATGACTATAACAGCACGTCATTAATAATTTTACAAGACCATTAGTAAACTGTGAATTAGGTTAAAAACCAGAACATAGAACAGTGTTGTTAGACCAACATGTAGCACCAATGAGATTCAGCCGCCCCGAGTTCGAGTCCCGGCTCACGGACCTTTCCCGATCCCGTCCCCCTCTCTCTCTCCCACTTCGTTTCCTGTCCACTTACTGTCCTATCGTAATAAAGGCATAAAACGCCAAAAATAAAATCTTAAAAAAAAAAAAAAAAAAAGTTACATTACAATGCTGCTGATGAGAACTTTAAAAAATTGTGATCTGATCTAGATCGTGATGACAATCCGACATGGCCTTCAGCTGAAAGTTCTTGCAGATGTAGAAGCAGAATGTTAAAAAGTGAAATGACTGTACTGGTGAAGAAAGTGAACTTGGAACAAAACTGAGATCTGATCCAGATATTTATGATGATCCGAAAAGTCCTTCAACCACAGTACTCATGCGAGGACCTGGAAACAGACTTTGGTGCTGTCTGACAATCTGCATAATGAACTGCGTTTGTTCTTCAGTCTTTGAGAGGAGTCCGTTGTACTCTTGGATAAGCGCAACACCTCTTTCTTGCATTTGAACTGTTTGCCCAGGAACCAGTATCTTCATTTAGGAAGTCCTGACGGAGATCAAGAATAAAGAAGTTGTGAGTATTCTGCTATTGTCGTGACATGTTGCCAAGTATGGTAACCAATACCAAGTGCACACACACAGCAGTGAGTAGTGAACACACACACACCCGGAACAGTGGGTGGCCATTTGCTCCAGCGCCCGGGGAGCAACTGGGGGTTTGGTGCCTTGCTCAAGGGCCTCAGTCGTGGTTCTTCAGGTTATAAGTCCGACTCTCTAACCATAAGGCCTAATGGTTAGGGAGTCACCTGATATAAAAAAACAGTCAAAAGTTTATCAGTGAACAAAACATTTGCTAATATTACCAATCAGATCTTGAAGTACCTGTTGATAAAAAGATACGCATACCCTAAATGACAAATTATCTGGATGGTATTTTGCATACATTACATACTTCTAGTGGAGAAACAAATGAGGGGGTGAGAGGTTTCCAATAAATAATATTTACCCCCCAATAAGGGCCACCCTAATGATGCAGTGACACAAAAGCAACTGTTTTATGCTCATTGATATAGTGAAGTTCAAAGCGTTTCATACTTTTTAAATACAAGCTTTCAGAGTGGCTGACCATGAAATACAAAAACATTTTTTAGTGAGCTTGTCATGTGTTAGGCATGCCAAACCACATTGTTCTTTTTGTTGCCATTGAAGTTTAATGTTTGGCATGGTCGGTGGATCCATGTGACTCGCTGCCGCCGGGTTCATAGTTTTACTAGAGAATGCTACTTCCTGAATGCTAGCGGGAAATTGGATGACCTTTAGAACCAGTGTACACACGCAAACACACATTGAGAGGGTATTGCACATCACACCTGAATGAACTTGCCACAATTTGCATTGCAAATGTCTGAAGTGTGGATTTGCACCCAGTCATCATTCAAAAGTAGCCAATATGTCGTCTTTGGGGAGACATTTTCTCTGGCAGAGTAAAGGTTCATTTTATGTTGGCCTTCTGAATCTTTTCCTGGCCACTGCAGGAGGAAGACAGACTCCCAGAGTGCACTGGGCCTGAGGACGCCCACGAGCAGGCTGCTCCTCTGCCTCACACCCACAGTCAGTGTGCTGGTAAAAGCTCTTCCTCTCACGGTCCTTCTCTGCTTAATGTTCTCTATCATTTTAGCAACATACAGTACTAGACTAAAATACATTTCATTTGTCATTTGAATATTAAATGATTTTAATAACACAAAATTAAAGTTTTAATGTTCCTGTTATGACTATTTCTAATTCAGTGTGAATTTATTTAATCTCTTTTAATGTGTCTTACCCTTACATTTACCCACTCACTCTCCAGATGATACATCTGTGAGCTCCGAGACGCCCCATGAACAGGTGACCTCAGTCAAAGACCTTATTTCATCTACTGAACCTTCCTCCCTTGTGACCTCCGAGATGGTATCTCCCTCATCGGGCCAGCCTGAAGTTGGTGATTCTAATACAGGAAGGTACAATTTCCATCTATCAGCATTTGCTTGTGGATTTTCTCTGGCTCACTGATATAAAGTGCTAGTTAATGATTCACTAAAAATAAATTATGGTCTGCTTTCATTCAAAATGCCTACCACACACCCAAAGATTACATTTGCTAGTCAAATGCGTGTCGTCTCTTCCTGTGTTGGGCTGTTTTGTGTAGACATATTAAGGAGTTATTACTACTGACAGAGCCTCGCTTTGCATGTTACCATGCACCTGTGCGGCCAGGCTCGGACAGACGCCCCATCCATGCTCTGCTGGAGCACACAAACCATCATTGCACTTACTGAGAGCAGCTGCATTCTGAAAATATCAGAAAAACAAACCGACAATACAGTGACAAACTTTCTCTTTCCTCCCGGGTCAGGACCCAGCAGCCCATTGCCACAGAGGATCTGAGGGAGAGCGTGCGGCCGCCACAGCCGACATGAGTGACTCGCAGGTCAGTTTGAGGACGAAGAGGAAACCAAGGGGAAGCTTGTTGCGTTTGTAGCGCCGCTTGCCATTTCTTCCTCTTCCTCTTTTGTGTTTCTGTTTCTTTCTAGTTTTGCCTTTCTCTCTTTTCATGTTCCTTTGTAAAAAAACTTCGGTGGTCCTGTGTAGTGAGAGAGTAGCTACCTTTTCTGTTGTGCCATAAAGGGGAGCCTGCAGTTGGCCGATTGAGAGAGTTCTGGATGGCGGTAAGCAAGAATGACTGCTCGTGAGAGGACGTGCCTACCCTCTTATCGATGTGATGTGCCAGGGCTTTCGGTGTTGTTTAGAACTGCTTTGTGTGAGCTGCTTTTCAAGTTAATACAAGCATCTGACAACCTGGTTTCGTAAGTTGAATTTGCCCGTTTGTTTGTCCAGGATCAGATATTAACTATTTTATTAATCTGCAAAGCTAAGCATTATTCTGACATAGGAAGTGTGCTAATTGCCCCATTGTTGACTCTGTCATGAACGTTGTTAACTTATAATGATAAGATGGGAGATATTTAGGTGAACTTGGAGTGCAACCAAAATAAACCGCACTTCATCTGAGGGCTTCTCTGCACTTCAGTTCATAGGGAGTGGGCAGTGTTAAACCTCTATTAATACAGCATGCAGCATATTACTAGACATCAGTGTAGGTAGGGGATAATTCAACTGTCCTATAACATGTATTGGTTTTAAAGAAATGCTTCATATTCGGGTCTAGCCTAAATGCATAAAAGCTAGTTTACACTGCCATTCAAAATTTTGGGGTCAGTATGATGCTTATATAAAAAAAAAAATAATAATAATAATTCTTTTATTCAGCAAGGATGCATTCAACTGAGTAAAAGTGACAGTAAATGTATATATAATTTTATATAAAATTTCTATTTCAAATGAATGCTGTTCATTTATACTTTTTATTCATCAAATATATTAAAGGGGTCATATGATGTAGCTAAAAAGAACATTATTTTGTGTATTTGGTGTAATGAAATGTGTTTATGCGGTTTAAGGTTCAAAAAACGCGTGAGCTGAGGTGGCGGGGTCGAGAAGGGTGCGCCCGGCGGATCCGACGAATGAGCGGCAACCACATGTGACGGACGAAGCGGCTGGATTCCGCTTCGTCCACGGTGAAAGTTGATGTATTCCCTCAGCGACCAGCACAGATCAGCTCAAGGCATGACGAAGCGGATATCGTCCTCTTTTGGAAGACCAAACAAAGTAGTTTCGCTTTCACAACGAAGCACACAGCGTCTTCACGACATGGCTGCAGCGTCAACAAAACTGCAGTGAGACTAAAAGTTACGCCTTCTTTCTTTGCGTGAACATTTGGGCGGCGTTATGCAAATCTTCCCACATAGTGAGGTAGATATGTGGGGGCGTGTTAGAGCGAGCCGTTTTAGGTAGGTGTGGCTGACTCTGAACTTTTATAAAGAATATCTCTTTGGATTTGTATTCTCAAGCACTCCAAAGAGAAAGGAAAAATTGAAATCGCATCATATGACCCCTTTAACTGGTTTCTTAAACAGGTTTTGCTTTAGTACCCATATTTTGTATTGGACGTCAAGTGCAATAAATGTTGCGATCTGCCTAATTTGGCTAGCTTCTACCAAATGACAGATTGGGCTCTTAGCCTTTGATGTCAACAGAAAATATGGGAAGCTTTTCATAAGCCTATTTATTTTGCTATCCTAACTTTGCTAAGTGCAACTAACCAAATAATCATGCATTTGTTTCTTCCCTGGTGACTGACTCAATCGGAACAGACCTGCAACCGTTTTTTGGTGTTATTAGTTGGTTGTTTAATTGTTATATTCCTTGTGTTTTTTTAACTTGATGATAAAATATGTTGCTCAGGCTGTGTGTGTGGTTTTTCATCAGTATGTTTAGAATAAGTATAGCACTTTTTCACTCCCACTTCAATGAACTCTGCCAGTACAAGTACTCTCCCCCTCCAGCCCTCCCCCTCTCTTTCTGTCACTCCCTCTCTGTCTCTTCCGGTCTTTACCATCTTCTCTCTCTCTCTGCCAGCTGTAGAGCTCTCACACACATTATGTAAGTATCTAGCACTTCTCTCTCTGTGTGAAGCAGAGTGTAGCTCTTATATTTCATCTGCCATGTCTTGGGACAGGTATGGAAATGCATGCGTGTGTAATGTTTATTTGCATATGATGGTAGTTTACACAAATGTATATGCGTTGCTGTTCAGAGTGTGTCACTGGGTCATAATGCCATTCTGTTGTCACCTATAGAGACTGAGTGAGGGACAGCTTTCTAAAGTGTCTGCAAAATCGGACAAGTGAGTATTTTTCCTGTTTGTGCAACTGATTATTTTAATATATTTATTACACAGGAGCTGCTGGACTGAGTATGTTAGTGTTGTAATTGTGTGTATCTTAAAGAGTTGCTGTACATTTATTAATTATTTGTTTAGGAGTCTCTTGCTGCCATTAGCAGAGGAAGAGGAGGCCATGCTAGAGGCGGCGGAGGTGATATCAACTGGGGTGAACTCACCAGGTAGGAGGAAATACACCTGTGGATGTTACCTGTTGACCTTTGAAATAGGGATGTCAAATGTACTGCTTCTGATGACTGCTTTTGGAGCAATTGAATACACTTCTTGGTCAAAATGAAGTTGATTAATGGAAACACAGATTTGCCAATGTCTATTTTTACGTTAAAATTAATCTGTGAACATTATTGACAAGAAAAAGAGAAAATCAGGAACTGTTATTAATTTATTTGTTTTCATTACTGACTGATTACTTGAATATTTACATAAGAAAACTTAAAGCTATGTGTTCATAATTGACAAATACTTGAAGGCTGCATGCCATTCTAATTTAATTAGTTAATATTTATATTCATGTTTTGCTTTTTAAATATGTTCAATAGCAATTTGGCTTTTGCTATGGTTTTGAAATGGTTTTGAAATTGATAGTGTGAATTATGAAAGTCTACATTAACATTACTCTCACCTTGTCTGCTCACTATGTTTTGGATCAGAGTTGCTATTTAAGTGTCTCTTCTTTCTTTCTTTTTCTTTTTAGACAAATCAGACAGCAAAAGGACAGTGGTCACATCTGATTCAAACTCAGCAGCCTCAGCTGACTCATTGAAGGATGCTTCTGAAAAAGCGAAGGACATGACCTTTGACCCCACAGTCAGTGAGGGTAGTAATCTTCCAACAATCTCTGCTGTGCAAGGCTCCAAAAAAGACCCTCTGACTCTGAGGAACAAGCTCAAGAAGGTAAGAGCCATTCTCACTAGAATCTATGAACTAAGCAAAATACAACAAAAGCCTGGAGAATCTGGTCCTACCTGCTTTGCCAAGTATTTTCATTTTAATTACACGTGATTGTGTTCTTATTAATAAACGTAACATGCCGTCTGATGCCCAGTGTGAACTATATGCTGAACTTGACATGCCTGGGTTGTACATTTAAAATGAAATGGTCCTCTTACAGGAAATGAGCAGTATGGAAGCCATTGTGGAGCAAAAAGCTCAGGAGGATGGCGAGCCTTCAGTGGCCACAGAAAAAGAAGGTAGATAAATGATCTCTCTCTCCCTGTCTGCCTCTTTCTCATCTATTTCTGCTTGTTTCCCATCAATGTCAGTCTCCTCTACCTCCCTCAGGTGACACATCTGTCATCTCTGAAAATGCCAGCGATTCCACCAAAGATGACAAGAACAGGTTTTAATGCTTTGTGTACTGAATTTATATCCATAAATTTTAATCTGATTCAAGCATGTCTTCACATGACTAACTTGACATATTCATGTTCCCATTAATCTGAAATGTGCATTTCATCTGCAGCCTGTCACCAAGTGACAAAGAGATAGAGGTGAGGTGTTTTTTTTCTTCTTTTTCATTCAGTCCCATTTCAACATAGAGTGTATGTATGTTTATGGTTAACTACATTTTAAAATGTGAAAAGTATGCATGAGAGAGAGAGAGAGAGAGAGAGAGAGAGAGAGAGAGAGAGAGAGAGAGAGAGAGAGAGAGAGAGAGAGAGAGAGAGAGAGAGAGAGAGAGAGAGAGAGAGAGAGAGAGAGAGAGAGAGAGAGAGATGCAGAGCATGTGCAGAGCGGGGCAAGGCCAGGAACAGGATGAGAACGCTGCTTTTGAACATTGATTTTGAAACTTGTGAATCCATTAGAATCGTTAGAAGACAGAATCGCAATTCATATATGAATAGATTTTTACGTGCACCTCTAGTTTTCTCTTCCTCTTCTCTAAAGCAGCGCAGCATGGCCTCGCCCCCTTTGCTGCCCCGGAGGCAGGGTTTATGTAAAATTCTGGGTTCTTGACGTAACGGACCTGGGAAGTAACTCGTTGTAGTCCCTTACCAGTTGTTTTTGTAGGCATTAAACTGACAGAATTTTAAAAGACGATATCTCCGTTTGCATTGAACTTTCAGCTTTGTAACTTTGCAGATATTGTTTATGATCAAACAGCAACATTACACACTAACTAACATTAAAAAAGTGAAATCGCAATCAACCACCCCTTTAAGTTACACTGGTAGCTCATAAATAAATCCACACAAAATCTGAACACCTATGTTTTCATAATAATTAGGAAATTACAAAAAATTCTACAGAATAGTTATAATGGTATAAAGATGTTTCATACAGACCTGAATTAGATTCTGAACTAGTGAATAACCTGAAATATGTTTTGTCAGTGATGTTTCTAGAGTGTTTACCATGTGCTCTTCCTGCCAGGCGGAGTTCCACCGGCTCTCTCTGGGATTCAAATGTGACGTGTTCACCCTGGAGAAGAGGCTACGCCTGGAGGAGCGTTCACGAGACCTGGCTGAGGAGAACGTCCGGAAGGAAGTGAACAGTTGTAAAGGTCTGCTGCAGGTCTGTGTCATTTTGTGCACTTGTTGCTGGTATAAAATCAAAAAATACATGATCATGTATTGTCAATGCAAGCAAGTAGTACTTTGCTCTGGACAATGTTTTTTTAATATTTATATTTCAGAAAATTCTTACTGAAAATTTCTTCCAACAAGTAGCTTGAACATAACACTGTTTTGTTATATAGGCCCTGATTCCACGGTGTGAGGAAGATAACCAGTCCATGGAGATGATCCATCGTCTGCAGAAGAACCTGGAAGTCCTCATCCAATCCATGACCAGAGTGTCCAGCCGTTCAGAGATGCTCGGGGCCATTCATCAGGTTTGTGTGTTTACTCAGGCCCTTCAGAGTGCTAAAATAGCCCTCTAAAGCCAAAGTTAACAAAGATGCCTGCTTGTTTGCATCTCAATTTCCTTGCATGTGTAGGAGACCAGAGTGGGTAAAACTGTGGAGGTGATGATTCAACATGTGGAGAACTTGAGGAGGATGTACACCAAAGAGCACGCAGAGCTGTTGGAGCTCAGGGAGAACCTCACGCCGAATGAGAGGTCTTTTGGGTCCCACACTGAGAGGGGTAAGTTGATATTATTCTTGGTAAACTTGTAAAAAAAAAAAAAAAGTGGTAATACCAGTCTCTCTCTTTTGTCTATCCACATGGGTTTTCTTTTGTGATTGCAGATGATTTTAGAAACAAGAAGCAGTCAACCGCAAACATTTTCAAAGTGAGTTAAGGCACAAAACACACCACTTCAAGATCGTGAATTCAGCTTGCTGAGTTAATTTTTACTGATTTTTATGTGTTCTGTCCTTAGACCACTAGCCGACGCATCAGTATAGCTACCATTCCCCGCAGCAGTGGAGGACAGACCCATTTTGACATGGTGAGGAGTCTAGTTTCTTCTTACAGAGATGCTTTTGGTAGAAAAGAAGTAGAACATCTGAATAAACTGTGGTTTCTAATTCACAGCCCAAAGACATGGCAGAAACTGAGGTAGAGAGACTCTCCCGCCGATCACCATGGTAAGTGTTCTGATGCTGTTTTGAGATTGCATGGTCCATAAAACACAACCGGAGCCCTGCCTGTCAGTATTAGTCCACCAAAAAAATGGGTTAGTGTGACCCAAAACTTATCAGAATAAGATTTATTCATTAGGCTGATACTTTTATTCAAACAATTTAAAATTATACACCTATCAGTAGGATCTCTGGAAATGGAACCCATGACTTTGGCGTCGTTAGCGCCATGCTTTATTGGAGTCGTATGCCAGTTGGTTTTATAATACTGTGTGCACATCTTTGCACGAGAGAAAGGATGTCATGGTTGTGTGTCGACCGCTTTACAGGAACATGGCAGCCAAGAGGCCACCACTAAAGCGCTTCATTAGCTCTGGTACTTGGGCCGACATAGATGAGCCCACTCTGATGAATAGGTAAGGTCACGTGTGAAGATCTGTTGTGCACCTTTCGTCTTTCGCACTGATTTCATGTCAAAACCATAAAGCTCAAGTGCCATCAAAAGGTCATGTCATGCAGAGCCACAGTAAAGGCTTTGAGCCAAGATGGTGGACACTCAGTGCACTGTGAACTTTGTACAGGTATGGATATGACACAGACTCTCACTCAGAGAAGGAGCAGAAAGAGGAACCAGAGGAAAGAAGGACTAGCATAACAGAACTAGGCATCAAAATCACCTCCTTCATAATGCCAAATAAGACGTTAGTGTACCTCCCGCCTCCATTATTCTCTGTTACAGCATTCAGGCATTATCTACTACAAATCGAGGGTTTTCTGTCAAAAATGTCACTGCCTTTTGCTGCTGCAGCTAAGCTAAGAAAATCTAACTTTAATTATGGACACCCACAAAGTTCATCAGCTTTGCTTTCTCTTCAGCGGAAAAATGAAACCAGTGCTGACACACTGCATGTCTTCTGCTTCGGTTTACAGCAAATGAGCTAAGCAGCCCATCTGTGGTTTCAGAGAGAAGACAAAGTTCTTAAATCTGTTTTTCCCCCACACTGGTGGACAGTTGTGGGCATTTGGCAATGTACTCTGATCCCAGAGTTGTGTGCTGTGCTGATGTTCTCTCTGGTATTTTCTTAAACAGGATAAGTGGTAGACCGATAAATAGAGAGCAGGATGGAGATATGTGGAGATATATGTTCAAAAGTTTGGAGTCAAGCTAAGCAAAAATGACAGTAAAACATTTAGAATATTATTTTTTTTAAGGTTTCCACAAAAATATTAAGCAGTTTTTAATATTGATAAGAAATGTTTGATGAGCATCAAATCAGCATATTAGAATGGTTTCTAGAGGATTTTGTAACACCGAAAACTGAAAATCCAGCTTTGCCATAACAGGAATAAATTACGTTTTAAAAATGTATTAAAATAGAAAATTGTTATTTTAAGTTGTAATAATATTGTATAATAATACTGTATTTACAGTATTTTTTAATCAAATACATGTAGCCTTGGAGAGCATAATTCTTAAAAAAAAAAAAAAAAAAAAAATCTTAGAGACTCCAAGCTTTTGAATGGTGGTGTGTGTGTATATAATTTAAAAAATGAAAGGCAATTAAATTGGCAGAATGGCTGCTTCTGTTATTGGCAGACCTCAAAATGGTCAAATATTGGCCAACTACTCCGTCTGACCAATGTATATCAGTCTATTACAGAACTCCTGTTTGTCTTGAAACATCGAAACATTCTTGTTTGTCTTGTTTATCATGTACTTTGTCAAACATTGCTTTCAGCAACAGCTGTCATCTTTCACATTGCTCTGAATGTTCAATGTTTTCTCTTCAGGTCGCCTCAGCCGTCTCACCTATTCAGACTGATTTTCATTTTTTTTTTTTTTTTTAATCATTTGTTTTGTTTTTAATGACCTGCTGTTTTCTAATGAAAATAGGGCCCAGAACATACTCTACACAAGTATGTGTATGCCAGTGCTTCTAGCTATGTAAACTTGATTTCATGCTAAATATGTACGATGAAACCACACGGTTGCGTTTACCTACTTGGACAGAGTATGTTTCTGGGCTAAGGATATATAAAGTGCTCATTACAATGACATGAACTTGCTTTACTTGCTCCTTCCTGATTTAGCATAAGTAAAAATGGTATGCTGAAGGTATGCTGTTGTACTTTCCTCTTTAAATGTTTCTTTCACTCTCCATCCCAGTCCCAGCCCAACAGATCACGCTCCACCCAGTCTGATGGAGGGGAGGCCTGCAATGTCCAGAGGCACCAGGGGTATATGGATTTGGGTGGCCTTGCTTGTAGTTCTAGCTGTTCTACTGGCTCTGTTGGCCAGCCTGATGTTACAGCCTGCAGTAGATGCAGCACCTGTGGGCACCGGAGACTCCTGGATGACCATCCAGCAGCTTCTGTGGCCCTATACTGGGCTGAGGCACAACGGCCAGCCCCCTGTGTGACACCAGGGGGTTCGGCAAGGCTGCAGTGGCTGGTCCTGACATTCAGAAAAAACTCCGGCTACAAGAACTGTGATGCAACACTGCCGCCTGTCTTTCTAAAAGAACACTTTGTGACCATTTCTTACCAAAGGTAAAAAGAAAAGTGGGCGTCTCGAGAGAGATGTGCTGAAAAATGCAGACTGCTTGGATGCTGTGTACGCAAACCGTAGTGTTGGCCATGTATATAATAAGCACTTTTATGAGACCGTCAGTGCCAGCAAGTCACAAGGTGGATATTTGGATAGGAGTGAGATGAGCAGACTGCAACAACGTGAATGTGAAATATTATATATCGGTTGCCCGAAAAGGCTGCCTTTTTAAACATTTTGTAATTGATCAGTGTATTTTTATGGGCAGTTTGAAAAAGTAAGATGAAACATTTTTAAAAATATATTTTTTCTTTTTGTTAACTTATTATTTTACTGTTTTATGCAGTAGAGTTTTTTCAATATTATTAATTGTTACAAACACATGGTTTTTAATCCTCATAAAGCTGTTGGTTTGGTGTTCACTGTAAAAAGTTCATATACTTTTGTATGTTCCAAAGAGGGGGGAGAGAAACTTTGCACAATAAAAGAAACTGATCCAACTAATCTCATTATTTACTGTGCAAACCAAGCTAAATTGATCTTAAAGCTTGAGTCAATTTGTGTGTTAAATATTCGTTTGGGTCTGTTCTTATTTTAATTTATCCAAAGCTGGTGGTATAAAATGAAGTAAATGAATTATTTCCAAATGGCATCTAATTCAACATGAGTATAACAATCTATAAATCGAGGAGAATCTCACCAAACATGTCTGGGTCATATTTCAGCCCCCAAAATAATATATTATTAATAGAATTTATGATTAAATGAAGATTGTTTTTAAAAGTTTTTTAGAATAAGATACACCTGCGAGTTTCTGTAATATTCTGCATTTAGGAACAATTTCTCAATGAAAGATTTAGTGCACATGCTCTCATATCCTATGTGGTGGTATCTATCTATCTACTATGTATATATATACTGTATATTTATTGCTTATGTTATAAATAATCATTCAAGTGTATCATTTGAGTCCACCTGCCTATAAAGAAGTTTACAGGGTGTTATATCTCAGCATATCAAGATGTTGCAATGATTATTCAAAACAGGTATCAGATGTTTTAGATATTAGTGTGTGTGCGTGTAGTCTTTCTGGATGTGTATGCTTTCTTTTCTCAGGAATATGTGAGGACACGTGTTGCACACAGAAGCCTCTGTACTGTGTCTGTGTAGAGATAGTGAGACTGACAGACTCTGACTTGGCCCTCGGTGCTCATGTCCTGTCTGAGCATGTGCAGAAAGGTGGAGTTGAACTCGCTGCCCTCGGTCAGCTCAGGAGAGAAGCTGTCGTCATGCTCCTTCATCTTCAGATGCTGGTTCCTCTGAGCACCCAGCAGGTAAAGAGACCATGCCTCCTCAGCCACAGGCCCCGCCTCCAACTGTTCACATGCCTACAGAGTCAAAACGTTAAAGGTCAAAGGTACTGCCTGCTTACAAAGAACATCTGTACAGTAGTTTAATAGTGCTTCAGTCAGTCTGTCAGAGTGTATGACGTACCTGAAGAACAAGGTGCTCTTGTCCGCATTGTGTGTTCCAGCGGCTCCAGGAAAAAGCCACGGCTGAGGACATTAGAGCCATTTGTTCATACACTGTGTGCTCTATTAATGGGTCCTAGAAATGGAAAAAACATGGATAAAAATATATTTACGTAAGCTCAAAGTTGTTACGTCATGGGTTTCTATGACTGGCCCATTTAAAAAGGAATTAGTGAAAGAACTCTAAACTCTTCCAAAAGAAGGGTTCCACATCAATGCCATAGAAGAACCATTTTTTGCTTAGTGTTAGGAGCATTTTTATAATCTAAAGAACCTTTTGAAGACCCCTTTGTGCAACAGACCTTTTACTCTACTTCATATTAAATGTTCTTCATGGAACCATCAATGCCAATACAGAAAATGCTTTTAAGAGTGTAAGGCAATTCAGCCCCTTGGTTACCTTTGGGTTGATGCTGACGTACTTGTCTGAATACTCATTCACAAATATATTGATTCCAGCTCTCTGCATGGCCTTCTGCAGTTCTGAGGGGCTCATCCACTTCCCTAGAAGATGATCTAGGTTCTTTGTTTCCTCCATGTGCAGCATACATTGCTTACCCTGAGAAACAAAAAGCTATCGATCAGTACTGGTGATGCACACAGGGAGAAAACCATTTTTGTAGCCTTCGGTATGTATCGAAAACGGCCTGGGTTTGAAATGATGGCATACTGTTGGTCTTAGATAAATGAAATGGCTCAATGACTGGATGCAGTTTTTGGATCCATTAATTAATTTATTCAAAAATATATAAAAAATGCAATTCAAACATGCAATAACTTGAGTGCATCTATTCAGTAATGGGGGAAGTCATGGCCTAATGGTTAGAGAGTCGGACTCGTAACCCAAGGTTGCGGGGTTCGAGTCTCGTACCGGTAGGGATTGTAGGTGGGGGGAGTGAATGTACAGCGCTCTCTTCCACCTTCAATACCACGACTGAGGTGCCCTTGAGCAAGGCACCGAACCCCCAACTGCTCCCCGGGCGCCGCAGCAAAAAATGGCTGCCCACTGCTCTGGGTGTGTGTTCACTGCTGTGTGTGTGCACTTTGGATGGGATAAATGCAGAGCACTAATTCCGAGTATGGGAATACTTGGCCACATGTCACGTCACTTTTTTCACTTTAATTTTTTCACTGCTAATATTTGAAAAGTTTTTGACCTCCAAATCAAAGTCATATGGTGCAATGAACATGCATAAACAGGCAGGGAAAAAATGTAACAGGAAATTTCAAAGCGAGGACCCCTTCAGGCTGTCTATCAAGGTCAATAATTTTAAATGTAAGGACAAAATATCAGGTAATTTGTCCCCTTTTTGGCAAGGCAAAGCTAGGTTGTAAAATGTCATATGCTGCAAACTGATTATTTCTGATAATCATTAAGTAATTCATGAAATTTGTAATGTTTAAAAAAATTGTGTGTATATATATATATATATATATATATATACTGTATATATATTAGTTTTCAAAACCCTTATATCAAACAACATGAATACAGAAAAGTTCTACATTTCTATTTTAAAGTAGATATCTTTTCACACTTATTTGTCAAATATGTGTATTTTTGTACAGGGCCTCTCTTGCCTTGACAGTGATGCTGACTTCAATAAGAGCTCCAGTGATTGTGAACAAAGTTGAGTCTTGACCGAGAGGCCTCAGCTCCCATGACTGGAAAGGCATGTTAGCATATGACTCCTGCAATAATGTGAAGGCAGAGAATGTGTTCATCTTAAAGGAGATGCTGTGGGTCTCTGCGTCATAGGATGCCTCAGAAATGCAGTCTGCCCGCCAGTGCTGACCTGCAGAAAATGATGTCCAATAACAGGCAAGAGGTAAAATACTAAGATGTGAATATAACGGGGAGCAGAGACTGTTTATTCAAGACAAAATCTGATGCTACATATGTGTGGTGTCAATTGTTCACCGATAGGATCCCAATGTGCCACAGGTGGATCCTCCAGAAACAATATCGAGTCAGGCAGAGCTACAGTAACCCCTACAGGCAATGAGGCAACAGTGCTACTGTGTTCATCCAGCCTCACTGAGGTAGAGCTCTGAATGCGAGTCTGCTCTGTGGGATAGGGGAAGACCTGGAGACCAGTTTCTAACAGCTATGATGAAGCACAACAGTAAATGACAATTAACGCACATTATTCTCTATGGTCTCTTTCAGACTGTCCCAGATTACATCCAGTGATGTACCTCTCTCATTTCCCAGCCCTTCACTATGCGAGACTGGGGCAGAAGATGGAAAACATCAAAGTAGAAGACTCCGCCAAGGGGTGTGAACTGCTGCAGATCCACTATATGTACGTCAGCACTGTCAATCACAGGTTCAGCTGGTGAGTTGGAACCATTTTGATCTAGAGACAATTTAATAAAGTAATAAGTTACAAGAACCTAGCCATTACAGTGGTATTACTAGTGATGCACAATATATCACTTTATATTTATTCTATTTTTTTATTTAATAAAAATTGAGCAGGGTTGCTATTATTACCCAAAACTATTAAAACATTCTCATTTTCATTAATTAAAATAAAGCTGACAATATAAATATTCGATGGAAAGCTTAGGAAAATAAATAAATAAACATTTATAAATAAAATAGAAATGTTGCCTTGGCAACTAACTGAAATTTAAGTTGTACTAAAATCACTAAAATAAAAATAAATTAGTTATTAATCTTTAGCAGATTTCTAAAATGGAAACCTGTCTCTCATACTTTATAATGTAATGCCTAAATTCACTTGCAGTATGTATTTTTATACATTAATAGTAGTATAGAATTTTAATAGCAGTGATTTATTGGTTATCAGCCTAACATCAAAATAATTTTCAGCTTAATTTTTTGGGGGGGCTAAAATATTGGTTTTGAACGCGGCTCATCCAATAAGAATTGAAAGACTTATTAAAGCAATAAGCCAAGAGAGGCTGTATGTTAAAGTAAATTTACCATAGTTCAGGAGCATAATGTGAAGTGCTGTGACATCCTTCAGTGCTTTACTGATTCTATAAAATCGTGGCAGCAGATTAAAATACCAGGGTTAATTAAAAGTAATAATAATAACCACAATAAATAATTGTTCTGCCAAATAATTGGTGTATCTGATAATATTAAACACACTGGACTTAATTATTATTATTATTATAATTCAAAGAATGTGCATATTTTGCCTGTTATATATATGAGCTTCACAGTAGATTTAAGAGATGGAACAATTCATTTTATAATGATTTAAATCACTGGTAGTATTATACATATAACAGTTAACTAAAACATTGTTATTTTTTTAGGGATGCACCGAAATGAAAATTCTGGTCCGAAACCGAAAATTCTGGATGCACTTGGCCAAAAACAGAAACCGAAAATGCTTTTTAATAATTATTTATGTAATTAAATAATATAAAATAATTTTGTAAGACTTTTTTAATTTGTCAATAATTTTAATTATACTGAATTTAAAAAATACAAGCCAATAAAATAATCACAGTTTTACTGAAAGTAAAACATTAAAATTGGACAGAAAATATATTAATATTAAATATCAATATATTATTTTTAGGGATGCACTGACATTTTGTCCGCCGAAAATGGCATTTTTAGGTTTTGGCCGAAAGAGAAAAACAGCCAAAAATATGCCATTTTCGTGCAATAATTTTCGGCAGCCGAAATTTTGAAATTTCGGTGCATCCCTATTATTTTTATGTGATGAAGATTTCAACATCATCTAATTTTGTTTAATATAAGGACAAAGAAGAAAGAAATTAGGAAAATCAGGAAGTGAAATATGAAAAGTCCAAACCAGCTTCTAATGCTGTTGTGATTTCCTCCATCTGACTTTCTCCTTCCTCTAACGGCTTGACTGAAGAGCTCTTCCTCCACTCTTTAGCTGAGATCACACTTACAGCACTCTGACACATGGACACACACTGATATTAACAGCAACAGAAGCCACTAGAAAATAAGTACATACACATGAT